CATGTTTAAAAGTATGATATCTAGTGCAAAACTAATATTTGCCGCTGAAAAAGTGTATATTTGCCGCTGAAATACGTGAACAAAACGACAAAACATGACATGAAATGAACGGTCATTTGATTCAACCGCCTCGCTTCGAACGACCATCTGGTGATCATTATTGCATCATAAGCAATCAATCATAGGCATCCCCAATATATCATGGAATGATTTAACAAATATACTGAGGGAAACAAATAAGGGATCACCTGAAAGCACAAGTGTTCTTTTATTTTTTTCCAGGTTTCTTCACAGTTGTGCGATACTAAGCTTGTGAATAAACCTGGGGAAAAAATAAGGGAACACTTGTGCTTTCACGTGATCCTTAGCTTTTCCCCTCAGTATATTTCAGGACATAACACTCGCTATATCGTCATTTAAGGGAAACGATGTAGTGTCCATGCACCCGCGTGAACGTTACCGGTGATGGTGAAGGCTAGACTGGTTAACTGTCTCTAAGTCAAATGGTAACATGTACCGCTGGCATCGCGCATAAGACATGCGCTGTCAGTTTAAGGTTGGACAGTCCAGATCAACGCACTCAGTGGATTGGTCAAGGGAAGATAACTTGAAAAAGATCGCCTATTATCGTGTTTCTTCAACATAAACCATAAATATTAAATGTTCTCATGGTTTCAAGTATGGTAAAAACGGCATGATTTAACGGCAAAAACGTGAATAGGCTTTCAAAATCGTAAAACTAGAGTGTCGAATTGTTAGTGATATTGTTTGTATTCACCTATGTCTGTATCTGGTAAATGTATAAGATAATATTTGATATTGTCATCCGTATTATCCCAGATCTTTCTGAATTACTAATACCCGCATCATTCCATAATATACTCATACCAATAATGGTTGTCAAACCACTACCCACCCCAACCCCACCTCCTCTCCAATAAAACAAATTGAAGGGGTGACAACCATTATTGGCATGAGTATACATCAAACGCATTATGCGTAAATGTTTATATACTGTGAACACAATGTAACAATAGCTGTCCTATCAATAGCTGATAGTGGGTATATTGCACTTAGTTATGTGATAAGTAACGTTTAAAAAGAGGCCCTGAAATCCTTGTGGTTGTTCTTGGGTGACCGCGTCGCCTCACGATGACGTAATTAGGCCAGGAGCCAGGAGCTGAAAATGGACATATTGGTACCACTCAGAGGGACCAAAAGTTTTAGTGTTTTGCATATTCCTTTATGTCTCTATATATCAAAAAAGTATGATGGGACATCTCAATTTGGTAGCTCAGGAAAAAATATGATTTAAAGGTATCAAGTAACACAACTTGATATTAATTAAATGTTTTTAATCATGTTAGCACCATTTTACCTCCCTTTTTCATTTCCAACCTATTTGCTGAACTTTACTTATGATTAAAGCTTGGAATTGACATTTTTTGAAAATTTGAATTTTTTGGCGGCCATCTTGGATTTAGCCTCGTTCTGAGTCTGAGCTACCAAACCGTCATGGCCATCATACATTTTTGATATGTAGAGACCATAACCACTTAAAAAAACATAAAAGTGTTTGGTCCCTCTGAGTGGTGGACTCATGGCCTAAATACGGCATGGAGTGTGTGTCGAGAAGGTCCTTTGTGTGGCATGTGCTCATATATCCCTTTAAGCATACAATTTCATTATATTTCAAAAGGTTTCAGAACGCTCTTACAATCTGTCGTTCTGATAGAGATTTAGTTTATCGACAACTATTTCATCATGTAATACAACATGTGTCCAACACCATTTAGTATTGTAGGAAAGCCGACAGGTGCAACTTTGGTAGCACAGAATATTCTTTTATACCGAAATGTCTCATTATTCCACATATTTGTTTATTTTTTTCGAAATTACTATTTTTCCTTGTTCTTTCGATTATATATTCGTATTTTCGACGATATTTTTTGTTATTTCCCGTTTTTGAAGGAAACTCGAAAAGTATATTTTCACAGGGTTTCGATAATTTTCTCGTTATTTTAATTACTTTCTCGTTGCTTCATGTTTCTTTCAGAAACTCGAAATACCGAAATTTTTCGAATTTTGAATTTACCTTGAAATCACGAGAAAATAATCAGAACATATATTAGAAATATTGGAAATATTAGAAATAGGGAGAATGTAATCGGTGTACAAGGGAGATAGTTCAATGGATATAGAACTTCTTTATTACGATTTATTCAAATGATGTAACGAGAAATTACACGATATTTCGAAGTTTTGACCAAAATGGCAACGAATGGCTCTCGTATTGTGATTGTGTGTACCGACTGTATTCCATACATACTCCAACAGATTTGACATCCGTTTTCGACTATGAATGCCTTTGATTCCAGGCGGCTACATGGTCGACGGCGTCCTCCTCGACAGCGAGGTAAGTGCCACGAATGGCGTTGTCAAGAATGGCGTTGTCAAAGATCAATTCTCTGATCCCAAGTTTCCACGTCAAAGCGCTCACTGCTGGTGCCATAACTGTCAAGAAACTGCCTGTAGTTGGTGCATATTAAAGACATACATGCTGTTTGCTTTATGAATGTGTATTTAATGAGACTGTCTCGTGCATGTAGTTTCATATGCTGGACAAATTGACATCTCTGTCGCAGGGACTATCACCCTCAAAACACACTATAGAAATATGTCAACCATGACGTTGCTCCTTTTCTCATTTGGACTATTTAGTGTGTAACAGCTACATGTTCAAACAAGTCATTTGGCCAATGTTAACCCTTAGGAATAGGATGACTGAACATGTTTGCTTCGAAACACCATCTTGATACTGTATCACATCTGTGCCTCCATTAGTTAGTGCTGAGGATACTTTCGCATTTTTGCCTTATTTGGTCATCACTAAGAAAATATTGACGTTCAGCATGTATCATCAATATATTATTATTATAGAAAATTTATATAGCAATCTCATCTCCCTGGGGAATAGACAACTCTTGCTGCCACTAGGCGCACCGAGTTACTGTGGCTTTCCCATCCTAAGGAGGTACCCATTCACAGCTGGGTGGACTGAGACACATAGTCACAGTACTTTGTCTATGTTCACTGCACGTTGTTGTACCCGCAACTAGGTGTTTGCACGTATTCATGTGGCCACCATCTGGTCATATACAAACGGATTCGTGGGTTCTTTTAAGTGCACAGGGCTGTGTACTGTACACTAGAAGTTGTGACAACACGGAAAGAATCTGCACAAAGTTGACTCTAAGGTTTTCACACCCGGTCACAGGTGGGCTCGATCCCGGCACCTCAACCTTGCTGAATCACTAGCCTGGCGCCTTAGCCAGTTCGCCCACCGCACCCCCTTTTTACCCTTATTTTCGGTAAGATAAATACTCGATTAAGCATATTAATTTCGTTTTCTTAGAATGCAATTTTTAAACATTTTGTCTTCATTGGTCATGATGAATCTAAATACTGATTTGATCAACAGTATCATAATATATTGTTCTTTGGGCCATTATCTGTCAAATATGTGAAAAGCAATGTGAACATATATGAAAACGTGGTTCGAGAATGTACATGCAGGGTGAAGTATGTCAGGGAAAACGTGGCCAGATAACTTCAGTTCAATATGTAGACCTTGCCATCTGCTACATGCCGAATACACGACATTGGAACGAAGGAACATCATACTGATGACAAAATATTCGGGAGTGAAAACTGTGAACATTTTACAGTTCAAATAATCTTAATTTATTTTCAAATAAAGCTGAAAATACAATTACCTCGTACTATTTACATACTTGTATATTCTTCATCAGGATCTCATGCTTGTCGTAAAAAGGCAATTGGCAGAATCGGACGAGCTGGCTCAGTGACATGGCTCATGCACGTCATCGTTTTACGGTTGTGTAGATTCATGCTTGTGCGTGTGTTTTCATATTTCAGTGTTACATATTGGCTGCTATATTTATTTAAAAATGGGCAGGAAAGAAGAGGTAACATTATTTACAATATTCTCTGTCCGACTGGTTCTTGGACAATATGTCCATGACGAGTTAAATGACAGTTTAGTGAGTAAAGTTTTTTGGAAGCTATTGCATCATACACTCACCTTGTCGTATCCTCGGTATTTAAAACAGTGAATCTTGAACATCAGTTTAATTTCGGAGTCGTACAACAAACTCTTGTTTTGTCGGACAGTTCTTAGACCGGTGAAGATTCGTGTTAGAATTGGCCTTCAGTAAGCAATGCTTACCGTAAGAGGCAACAAACGGGCGACACATTTCATCGTATCCCAATATTGTCGCGTCCCCAGACTTAATTATTTACAGACTGTTGCCATATAGCTTGATTATTGCTCAGTGGGGCGTTAAACAACAAACAAACAAATCTTAAAATTAAGGAAACATTATTGTTTTACATCACAGTGTCAGCATCGGTTTGCAGGCACAAAGCATTGACCGTAACCCAGAGAACTCTGGATTTCGAATCTAAGATCACAGGACGATTACATTGCTGAAGGATAAAACCTTGCAGAGGCAATTTGACAACGCTCCACTGAAAATAACTGATTCCATTTACAATCAGTAGCGTTACTGTGTTGAGAACACAGGAAGGGCAAACTACTCCATCGCGGTGTGAAGACCTGCAACAGGCAAACCATCTGAACCCTAGTGTCTTTTCTTTATTGAACAGCATATGTGGCATATATAAGATTACTTCTACATAGGATGAATGCAAAGTATAATTATTTTAAGATAATGTGAATAGCATTGGTTTGCTTACGACCAAATGGAATCAACTGAATTTGTCGGTATGAATCATTGAGTGCGTGAGACAGCATAAATCAGCGAATCCTTGAACAGAACACTGCCTGTAAGTCTTTATCTTGATGAAACCGACTGTTGGGAGGTCATTAAAAATTAACCCCATAAAGTTAGTTTCAGATAAGAATTAAATGGAACACCGTTGTGTCACGTGATTCTAACTTGTTTGACTATACACGAACGTTCGTGAAACTAATCTTTCTTCTTGCCAGTTGGCTAAAGGGTACTACTGCAGACACAATGTATTCTTTGTTTGTTCTTTGCATGTTGGTCGTTGCTGCAACGGCGCAGACAACAGCAAAAAGTACTCTAACCATCATCGACTACCTTACAGCTCGGCGCAACACCAACCTTGTTAATCTTATTCAGCAAGCAGGGCTCACAGACACCCTTAAGGGATCCGGTAAGAAATAGTATGAACACGTCACAATTCTGGAATTCTGGAGGCATGTGTCGGAAACTCTTTGCACCGTGGCCAGTTTCTGTCAAAGAAATTTGAAAATTAAACTTGCTGTTTCCTTCTATATATCTTGAGGGTGAAAATACATATTTTTTCGAAAACTCACAATTTATACTATGTCGTCCATGGACAGAACCAAAGGGGAGAATACTTTTCCTTGCTTAACTTATGCTCTTTAGTTTGCAATTACATGGAATTGTATCTTCACGTATCATGACACATGATTCAACTTAGTTAAACTTAATGCATCTAATCTATAGCTTTATGAAAATATCTCGCCCGGTGATTTTCGAAAAAAAAAAAAAAATATGTCATCCTTAGTATATATCCATGATAATAGCATGTTAATTTCAGTAAAATTTGGTTGCTTTGTCAGCAACTGATCCTAGTGCAGAGACCCGTGAAGGTCCGGGTTAGAATGAACCTTCAGTAACCCATGCTTGTCGTAAGAGGCGACTAACGGGATCGGGTGGTCAGGCTCGCTGACTTGGTTGACACATGTCATCGGTTCCCAATTGCTCAGCTCTAGAATTAAATGGTTTCATGCATCATCTGAATAAGTAATTCGATTGTTTGTAGGCTTTATTCCAACAAACATAGAAACACAATATTTAGAAAATATCAATTTTTTTCTAAAGCTACTGTAAAATTATTGTTGATGAACCTTTCACAATGAGAGTTAAAACAATATTTAATTCCATGAAGGTGGTATCGGGAAACAGTTTTGTAACAACTTCTACATTTTATGAAGAGACCAATAATATTTTGCTTTTATCGTAATGACTTGCTTGAAATCTTGTTAAGCCTATTCATAACATTGCCCGTGCGGATGTAACAGAATGCTTTCAACCATATCGATTCAAGTTTAAACATACTCTAATTCCTTATTTGAATTTCTGTATAAAGTTATAATGATTTTTATATTGGTCTTTGTTTTCATATTGTTTGTCATGCTGAAAATCCTTCTTTGAAGACCACTTTTGTAAAAGCAGGATATTGACACAAATGAGAATAACACTATTCAACTACGTTCACAACTTGACAAACATGCTAAAAATACTATACCACGCAATTCGTCACATGAACGCAATCTGTATGGCCGATTTGTACTGTCCCCCAAGATATGTTTTGGAATTTTGCTGAAGAAGGTGTAAGGCCATATTCACCTATTCCTACACACTGGTTGGGCATTTCATCTACATTGACTGTTCAGAGGACCGCTTACTTGTTTGTCCCTTCCGATACCTGCCCTAGATTGCGTAAAACATTTACTCACTTTTACACAATAATACAATATCTCATATCATATTTTTATGCCACTCTTCACAGGACCATACACTCTGTTTGCGCCCCCCGAGAGCGACCTAGCCAATTTGGACACAAGCGACAAGACAAAACTGGCAGCCCTTCTCAAATACCACGTTGCTAATGGTCAGTACAAACGAGCGGACTTTTACAATGAGATGAGTCTGACTACTCTCCAGCCCAGCTCGGAGCTCAGAGTCAACGTGTATCTCGCTAAAGGGGTAAGATAAAAATGTTCCAAAATAGGTACCTGTATTGGGGATCAATCATTAAAAAAATCTGGGAGAGGGGCAGGGACAAGATGGAGTTAGGGGAGGTGAGGCTGGGGTTGTGACTCGGAATATGAAGTTGTCAAACCAAGTGGCCAACCTTGATCATGTAGCTCAGTGTTGTCTATGTCCATCTTTTTCGACCTCTTCATGAACTGATTTGAATATACTGCTAAATCTGCATACAATTGATAAACAATACATGAACACTGCATTCTTTTCCTCCAAATCAACATGGAATCTATGATATTTACAAATGTATATAAGAAAATCAGCAAAACTCCTGGAAAGAAAGAGTAAAACGGGCACAGGACCTCTCTCCATACTTAAGAATTCATTGATATCTTAAAATGCATATTCTGTACAACGTTATCTGTCCACACATAAGAAAACTTTTACAATTATGAATTAATATTGGTTCCAGAGAAAATTGTCAAAGGAATGTAAAATAATACTGTAGACATTGTTACGATTTTGACTGTCATATCATACTTCATTGCAAAACATATGTTTTGCTAGTCATTGTCAAACTGGATGTAAATCTAGAACAGTTTGATGATGATTATTTTATGCTGTCATCTGCCTGTCTTTTCTGATGATGATGACTACAATTCATTGGAATATAATAATTTAAACTTTTGCTTCTTTACCTGGAAAATAATATCATTCCTGGTGTACCATTAACAGTTTCTCAGTACAAAGGTGTTATGCCTACGGTGACGAATGTTATGTTACTTACTTCTACAATACTTAAACATATACGTGAAGTCAATGTATTTTAGATAGCTTTTGTGGTTTGTATTATCTATGGATATAAACTGAGGGAAACAAATAAGGGAACGCCACCTCACAGCAGTGTTCCTTCTCAGATTTCCTCCCACAACGCTATTCAAAGCTGCTTGAAAATATTAAAAGAACACTTGAATTTTCCTGTCTTCCTTATTTGTTTCTCTCAGTATATTTCTGAAGGAATAGATACTTCATTTCGTCATTCACTGTATCAAATCAGATATGTGTTCGTTGTTGTGACTCATATTTCAATACCGTCATCTGATTCAGATCATGACCGTGGAGGTCACCGTTACCATTGCTTTTAATAACGTCATCTGATTCAAATTAGATGCCGTGGAGGTCACCGTCAACATTGTACTTAATAACGTCATCTGATTCAGATCAGATGCCGTGGAGGTTACCGTCACCATTGCCCTTAATATCGTCATCTGATTCATATCATTACCGTGGAGGTCACCATCAACATTGCTCTTAATAACGTCATCTGATTGAGATTAGATGCCGTGGAGGTCACCGTCACCATTGCTCTTAATAACGTCATCTGATTCATATCATTACCGTGGAGGTCACCGTCACCATTGCTCTTAATAACGTCATCTCATTGAGATTAGATGCTGTGGAGGTCACCGTCAACATTGCATTTAATAACGTCATCTGATTCAGATCAGATGCCGTGGAGGTCACCGTCACCATTGCCCTTAATAACGTCATTTGTTTGAGATTAGATGCCGTGGAGGTCACCGTTGCCATTGCTCTTAATATCGTCATCTGATTCAGATCATTACCGTGGAGGGTCAGACCATGCAGTCATCTGATGCGGTTATGAGTAATGGAATAGTTCACTTCATCAAAGGCGTGATGACGCCACCCACGGGAACTGTGTTAGACGTTGTCTCAAAAGAAGCAAATCTCACCACGCTCGCCTCAGTTATCAAGAGTGCCTCTTTGGAGAACTTCTTTCAAGGTGAATATCTTCGGATCAGCGTCCGCAAAACATTTCCCTATAGGGTGCCTTAAGCTGTTTTGCCAGGATTTCACCGAGGTGTGCTGACGTATCTTTGGAAAGAAACGTTGTAAACGTCTTTAAGGTTTAAACCCACGGGTACGGATATGATGTAAAGTTTATTTATAATCACAAAAGGCAAATTACAGAATCAACATGGTATGATCGTTGCAAGTAACATGTTCCACATTTAGGGAGAGGAATTTGCTGTGAGAACAAAATATGTTTAGACGAGGCTATTTTCAAAAGGCTGAAATAATTGATACAAAAGATACAGATATACATACGTCTCCATGATTAGGGCCATCTTTAGAGCCAAGCGTGATTTCACTGTACTCATCATTTACTCTACACCGTGTGTTTTGCAGATCAAAAGCCCATTACCCTCTTTGCCCCAACTGACGCAGCCTTTAACAAACTCGGAAGTGCAACTGTACAAGCGCTTGTCGCCGACCCTGCACTTTTGAAAAGTAAGTCTCTCCTGTTAGCCTTAGTAAAAAAGTCTATATAGTAGCTATTATCTAGATGACTGTGCCTTTTTTAAAGAAGTATAATGAAAATCGATATTATATGTTGTTCATGCATACACAGTGCATATTTTAAATGTTACATTTTTGTGTTGCTGGCATTGATTATATTTTGCCAGAGAAATAATTTTAGAAATTAATCGTTACGAGAATAGCAATAAATAACTGAATCTTAAGAACAGTGTTTTGTCTAAAGCATTTTGACTAATGCGTTGTGTTCATTTATATACTCTTAAAAGAGTAGGTGGTCCTAAAAAACAAACGTTAAGTGATTTTACACCGCTTTTAGCAATATTCCAACAATATCACGGCAGGGAACACCACAAATGAGGTTCATACATTGTACCCATGGGGGAAATCGAGCCCAGGTCTTCGGCCTGACGAGCGAACGCTTTAACCACTCGGCTACCCCACCGCCCCGATAAGCCACAGAACATAGATAAAACTCGAAAAACATCCTATACAAGAGCGTTTACATCTGTAAAATTTAACAGTAAACCAAGGCCGATGGTTTGGCCGATGTGGTTGCACCACACGCGTGTGTAGCGTGTAGATTTTGACACTCTCTGTCAAGGTCGATTAATCTTTGTGAGCCATTATTGCTTTCGATCATATACAATCCTGATTTAGTTGATGACTTTCAGGCTTTGTGTATAAAGTAGCGACGTGGTTTCAGCAACTCTCGGAGTGTCTACGGGCAATTGGCATGATGAAAACTGTCAGTTGTCAGCGGGCGGTTGCCAAGAGTCTGTGATAACCAGACAATGGACAATGGAAGTGATGACGTTCGACCCCGTGCAGGTCAACGCAAGAGTACAGGATTGATTGATCCGAAGATATTTATCGATCTATCGAAATTCAGCTCATCTCCATGCTGGACACACACACGTTGTTATGCCCTTCACACATTATCGTCATATTGCCATTAAACATCAATGGTGTTTTGATATTTATGATATTATTCATGCTGTAGATTAATGTATGACGCTGTGTTCAGGTGTTCTGCAGTACCACGTGGTCCCAGGGACACTGTACAGGGCGTCTTATCACTCCTCCTACCTGCACACCTTTGAGGAGGCCGACCGGATCAGGCTAAGTCAATTCCTCTTCTGTGAGTAGTACGTGGACGTGTGTAGGAAACTCGCCACTGACTGTTGAGGTGTTGGGTCCAATAGGGATATACATGTGTTTGTGTGTGTGTGATCTCCTCACTTTGAGGTCATCTGATGCGATAGAGATCTATTCTATCCTGAGTGCCGTTGTACAAAGCGTTTTTAGCACTAAGTGATCGTAACTCCCATACCTTAACATAGGCTTACGACTGTCGTAGCTCTAAGGTTCTTTTGTGCGCCCTGGGCCTCGTTGCACAAAGCGATCGCAACGCAACGACAGTCGTAGCCCACTGTTCACTGTTCAAATATGGGAGTTACAGATTACCTTATTTGTGTTACCATTACCTTAGCGCAACGATATATTTGGTTAATGTCCTTGGTGTTCTCCTCACCGTTGAGGTGTCTGAACAGATAGGGCTCTATACATTCCTTGTTTATTTGTGTTACTGTCTGAAGTGATCACCTCGCCTTGGAGGTGTATACACATATAGAGCTCTATACATTCCTTGTTTATTTGTGTTACTGTCTGAAGTGATCTCCTCGCCTTGGAAGTGTCTAAACAGATTCGGCTTAAAACAGTCCTTGTGTATTTGTGTTACTGTCTGAAGTGATCTCCTCGCATTGGAGGTGTCTAAACAGATAGGGTTCTATACATTCTTGTTTATTTGTGTTACTGTCTGAAGTGATCTCCTCGCCTTGGAGGTGTCGAAACAGATACTGATTTAAACATTCCTTGTTTATTTGTGTTACTGTCTGTAGTGTCTGAGGTGTCTGGTCAGATAGGGCTCTATACGTTCCTTGTTTATTTGTGTTACTGTCTGAAGTGATCTCCTCGCCTCGGAGGTGTATAAACAGATAGGGCTCTATACGTTCCTTGTTTATTTGTGTTACTGTCTGAAGTGATCTCCTCGCCTCGGAGGTGTATAAACAGATAGGGCTGTATACATTCCTTGTTTATTTGTGTTACTGTCTGAAGTGATCTCCTCGCCTTGGAGGTGTATATACAGATAGGGCTCTATACATTCCTTGTTTATTTGTGTTACGATTAACTTAGCGCAACGATAGCTTTGCTCAATGAATCGTGGTCAGTTTTGGTTACTGTCCTTGGTGTTCTCCTCACCGTTGAGGTGTCTGAACAGATAGGGCTCTATACATTCCTTGTTTATTTGTGTTACAGTCTGAAGTGATCTCCTCGCCTTGGAGGTGTATAAACAGAATACTGCTTTAAACATTCCTTGTTTATTTGTGTTACTCTCTGTAGTATCTGAGGTGTCTGGTCAGATAGTGCTTTACGTTAAAAGGAGAAACTACAGGAACTCATATACTAGTAAATGTCTGGCAAGGGAAGTGAATTATTTATGTGTCAAGAATATTTTGGAATAAATCAACTTCCTATGTATGCATTGTGAGTCAACAATCACGTGGCCTCGGTGAACACGTTGAAGTCGTGGTGTGCCACGAGTTACCATTATTATGACTCGTTAAAGAGAAGACGCTAGAGCTGAGCTCTATTTGGACGTCAACGTTACCCAGCATGTACGTTTTGTGGGTGGGTCCATACAAGTTTGGCAATGATTTGCCGAACTGCGCTCCAATTTGTCCATGACAGAGTCACAGTCAATATTATCCCGGCAAAACATCTTAGCCAAAACATATGGTGCACGACTATTGGTCAAGGTTTCAGTATTTTATGCATTATCGTGAAATCCTTGTGCCCCACTCCCTCCAACAGCACTTAATTCGAACACATTTTGAAGTGTGAGACCAGATATGATGAAATAAACGGATAAGTATTGATTGTATATTTCATGAAAATCACATCAGAAGTGTTCCCCTCGCTTTTTTCAAAAGATCTATAACAGAAACACACGCCTTTCCATATTATCATGCATGGGCGTGAACAGTTCGAACACTTTTTGAAGTGTTCGACCAGATTTCGTGAAATACATGCATGCGTTCTAATCATAATGAGACTGTACGAAACACGCAGGTCCCCTTTTAAGTATTATGATGAAGTCAGAAGTGATCTCTCAATATCTATAAAAGATAAAGGTACTGTGTCAATAGGGTATCCGATAGCTTTGAGACTGATTGTGTAGAGACTGATTGTGTACATATTGATTGTGTAGATAGTGATTGTGTAGAGACTGATTGTGTAGATACTGATTATGTAGAGACTGATTGTGTAGAGACTGTTGTAGAGACTGATTGTGTAGAGACTGATTGTGTAGATATTGATTGTGTAGAGACTGATTGTGTAGAGACTGATTGTGTAGAGACTGATTGTGTAGATATTGATTGTGTAGAGACTGATTGTGTAGAGACTGATTGTGTAGATACTGATTGTGTAGATATTGATTGTGTAGATACTGATTGTGTAGAGACTGATTGTGTAGATATTGATTGTGTAGAGGCTGATTGTGTAGATACTGATTGTGTAGATACTGATTGTGTAGAGACTGATTGTGTAGATATTGATTGTGTAGAGGCTGATTGTGTAGAGGCTGATTGTGTAGTTATAAAACCCATGATCATTTAATAAAAAGACGAAACTGGCTAAAAAAAAGCTGTCAGGTACTGAGGTAAAGTATTGTCTTAAACGAATGACAATGAAATGATATGTAGTTAGTGAGTATGGTAATATTTCCAGCAACATCAATGCGGGGGACACCAGAAAGAGGCTTCACACACTGTACACATGTAGGGAATGGAATCCGGGCATTCGGCGTGACGAGCGAACGCTTTAACCGCTAGGCTACCCCACCGTCCCGATTGATATGTACAGTATTTAGAGCGAATATTGTCCGTCACATTACACGCCCCAATGCATTATACAAAGGGTAGAGACTGTGAAATCGTGGTGTGAAACAATATGCTGCTTGTACTGACTTCATCCTGTCTTTGACACTGTAGTTAGCTACGAGGCCGACAATGGCAGCATGGTGGGCAACGAACTGAGTGCTACAAATGGAGTTGTCCAGGTCATTGATGAAGTCCTCATCCCAAGCTCATTGTCTGGCCAGGTGAAGGCTTTGACTGCCGGAACAACGACTGCAGTTTGAAGACGTCAGCTTGAATTCCCATGTAATTTTGATTGAATAAAATCATGCATCATATATTTTTGGTGTGTAGTTGTCTTTTAAAGCATTCTTTCGAAATCCGTAGTTGTTATACTACAAAAATGAAAGTATTTTGATAACAGAGTATGGTTGACTTAGTGGTCTATGATACATCACTTCAGTGTGATGACTGTTAGCCATTGCTGCTGGTAGAACAGTCCTCATGATTGATCTGTCAAACTGAAAGGACTGAACACATCTCCCCAGCCTTGAAAACTCTACACTGGCTTCCAATTCGCTTCAGACTCGAGTACAAAATCCTGCTCCTTGTTTTCAAGTGCTGAAATGGTCTAGGTCCAAAATACCTCTCGGATCTCCTGACACCATATCACCCAACTAGATCACTCCGGGACCAGTCTCACCTTGAAATACCACAAACTAGAACTAAGTCATAATGGGACAGGTCTTTCTCTAAAACAGGAACCCTCCTCTGGAACAATCTTCCAGCCATCCTTTGTTCCGAAATCTAACTGTCCTGTTTTAAAAGTGATTTCAAGACGCACCTATTCACCTCTTAACATTAATAAAGTTGATTCAGAGAGCGCTTTTGAGCAATGACATTGATAAAAGGTGTTTATAAATGTTTGCATGTCTATATGTCTGTCTGTCTGTCTGTCTTCCTGTCTGGATATATACTTCCATCAAAAGTTAGACTCACTAGTATAAATATAGCACTTACTTCAGGCAACTGTTCTAAACTAAATTTGGCAAAATATTCCATACTGTTTAAAGGTACTGTTTACACATGAACTGATGTACTGTAAAACAAATTCGTAACGTTGAAAAGATTATTATCATGAGTTCAATAAATGATAAAAATCAGTGAAAATTGGCGAATTCTTAACAAAACTTTACACCAAAACGCAGTTGTTCACATGGACGATATTTCCACATGTGTTTCAGCAATTTGATGCATGATCCTCGTACAATTCATCTATATAAGGGTTGCAGTTGGTTCCCCAAAATTAGTGTAGAAATTAAGCTTCGATGTAACCATATATATATGCATGAAGATATAGTGAGTGTTTTAAGTGCGTCTGACCTTCGGATGGGAAGTATATGTAAGTATGGATGGGCGTTTATCAGTTGGGGTGTCACTGTAGGTCTGTATGTCCAGTATGTGTGTACTGTGTAGATGGGTTAAAGCCATCAAATGGGTGTTTGGGTTGAGTAAAGAAACTGAGTAAAAATGTGTGGGTACAAATATTGGTTGGTTAAGGTATGGACCTAACGAGGGTGTCACATGCTGTCCGTTGTCGTCGTCTATGGAGTCACTGTTTAAGCTCACATCAGCGTGAATTATTTCGATTCATAAGGACACTAGCAGGGGCGCGATGGGCGGGCGATCTAAGGCGCCATGCTAGTTATCCAGCGAGTTTAAGGTGCCGGGATCGAGCCCACCTGTGACCGGGTGTAAAACCTTGTAGTCAACTTTGTGTACATGCTCTCTCAGTGTTGTCACACCCCCTAGTGTACAGTACACAACCCTGTGCGCACAAAATGTCCAAAACTGTACAGGTGTTCAGTCATAAATATTAGATAGATAAATAAAAACAGAATGCCTTTTTCGCCAACATGTTTCGTTGTTTACTCTTCGGGGAGTTCGTAGCAGTTACGTACAATAACTAATAACTGCTACAATCTCCCTGATAAATAAATAAGAATCTTCAGAATGAGAACATTACAGTGCTCCTGTGGGATGACGTCAACCAGCGCCCCAGACGTAAGATCAACTGTCGCAGGCATTTCAATTGCCAGAATTCCACAAGGTCGAATTCAAAGACTTATTCAGTCCATGGTGGTCAAAACAGATATTGAAGACAACGCCCAACTGGGGACGGACGCCTTCACTTATTGAACTGTTTATAAGCTATACAGTCAAATCCCGATTAGTCGAATCGCTGGGGACCAAGTAATAAATTCGACTTATCCATGTATTCGAGACATAGGTATGTCTATGAGGGCAGAAAAAAAGATGATCCAGTCCTAATTCCTCCGCCTAAGCATTTGCTTATCTAATGATTTCCCTATCACTAATAGGGGCACCTTATCAGTTCCAGTCTGATTAGCACAGACAGTGATTTCCGTAAAATCACTAATCTGCCTTTTGAACTCACCCGTCAATGGCGGAAAGGTGTGAGCCGCGCTGGTTTGTTAACTGGATCAGTTTGCTACACCAGTCAACTTCTCATTGACTGACTTCGGCTTATGTATACAAGATTGCTGTTGTTTGAATCTCATGGGACCAAATTTCCTTTTCGAGTCATCGTGTGTATTTATGAGATGACTTCGTGTAACCGGAAATCAAATGATGACAACTATAACAGGGAATGGTCGGGACTGACAGGTACTTCGAGTAATGCATAATATTCGGGACACCGGCATTCGACTCATCGGGATTTGACTGTACTTGTTTACAGACATTGGCTCTTTTTATACTGTGAACCTTGCCTACAGCTGATCCAGAATTAAATGTTTTATCTCGCACAGAAGGGATTTGAGTACATATACAATGGAAATACAGCACGTGTTTAAAAGTATGATATATTCTGACATTAAGTGCAAAACTTACATTTGCCACTGCAAAACGTGAACAAAACGACAAAACATGACATGAAATGAACAGTCAGCTGATTCTACCGCCTCGCTGCGAACGACCATCTGGTGATTCATTATTGCATCATAAGCAATCAAACATAGGCATCCCCGATATATCATGGAATCATTTAACACATATACTGAGGGAAACAAATAAGGATCACATGAAAGCACAAGTGTTCCTTTATTTTTTTCCAGGTTTCTTCACACTTGTGAGATACTAAGCTTGTGAATAAACCTGGGACAAAAATAAAGGAACACTTGCACTTTCATGTGATCCCTTATTTTTTCCCCTAAGTATATTTCAGGACATAACACTCGCTTTTCATTTAAGGGAAAAGATGTACTGTCCATGCACCCGCGCGAACGTTACCGGTGAAGGCTATACTGGTTAACTGTCTCTAAGTCAAATGGTAACACATACCGCTGGCATCGCGCATAAGACATGCGCTGCCAGTTAAAGGTTGGACAGTCAAGATCAGCGCACTCAGCGGATTGGTCAAGGGAAGATAATTTGAAAGATATCGCCTATTATCCTGTTTCTTCACCAGAAACCATTTTATTTATTATATGTTCTCTGGTTTTAAGTATGGTAAAAACAGATTAAAGCAGCACGTTGATTTAAAGGCAAAAACGTGAATAGGCTTTCAAAATCGTAAAACTAGAGTGCTTACATTTACAGAATGCATCTCACGCCCACAGTTATCCTCAAAGTACCACGTAGTTCATAGGGCTCTGTCTGAAACTGGGTGCTATAAAACATCTCTTGATACCTTTAAGGAGGTCGATAGAATCAAGCTCCACCACTCGAATTGTTAGTGATATTGTTTGTATTTACCTATGTCTGTATCTGGTAAATGTATAAGATAATATTTGATATTGTCATCCGTATTATCCCAGATCTTTCTGAAATCAATAATTATTGATTCCATAATACATCAAAAGCATTATGCGTAAATGTTTATGTACTGTGAATACAATGTAACAATAGCTGTCCTATCAATAGCTGATAGTGGGTAAATTGCACTTAGTTAGGTGATAAGTAACGTGGGTGACCGTGTCATCTCACGATAACGTAATACGGCATGGAGTGTGTGTCGAGAAGGTCCTTTGTGTGGCATGTGCTCATATATCCCTTTAAGTATACAATTTCATTATATTTCAAAAGGTTTCAAAACGCCCTTACAATCTGTCATTCGTCAGAGATTTAGTTTATCGACAACTATTTCATCATGTAATACAAATTGTGTTCAACACCATGTAGTATTGTAGGAAAGCCGACAGGTGCAACTTTGGTAGCACAGAATATTCTTTTATACCGAAATGTCTCATTATTTCAAATGTTTGTTTATTTTTTTCGAAATTACTATTTTTCCTTGTTCTTTCGATTATACATTCGTATTTTCGACGATATTTTTGTTATTTCCCGTTTTTGAAGAACACTCGAAAAGTATGTTTTCACTGGTTTTCGATCATCTCGTTATTTTAATTACTTTCTCGTTGCTTCATGTTTCTTTCAGAAACTCGAAATACCGAAATTTTTCGAATTTTGAATTTACCTTGAAATCACGAGAAAATAATCGGAACATACATTAGAAATATTGGAAATATTAGAAATAGGGAGAATGTAATCGGTGTACAAGGGGAATAGTTCAATGGATAAAGAACTTCTTTATTACGATATATTCAAATGATGTAACGAGAAATTACACGATATTTTGAAGTTTTGACCAAAATGGCAAGGTATGGCTCTCATATTGTGATTGTGTGTACCCACTGTATTCCATACATTCTCCAACAGATTTGACATCCGTTTTCGACTATGAATGCCTTTGATTCCAGCCGGCTACATGGTCAACGGCGTCCTCCTCGACAGCGAGGTAAGTGCCACGAATGGCGTTGTCAAAGATCACCAAAGTGCTGATCCCAAGTTTCCACGTCAAAGCGCTCACTGCTGGTGCCATAACTGTCAAGAAACTGCCCGTAATTGTTGCATATTAGGGACTTACATTCTGTATGGTGAATGAATGTGTATTAAATGAGGCTGTCTCTTGCATGTAGTTTCATATGCTGGACAAATTGACATCTCTGTCGCAGGGACTATCACCCTCAAAACACACTATAGAAATATGTCAACCATGACGTTGCTCCTTTTCTCATTTGGACTATTTAGTGTGTAACAGCTACATGTTCAAACAAGTCATTTGGCCAATGTTAACCCTTAGGAATAGGATGACTGAACATTTTTGCTTCGAAACACCATCTTGATACTGTATCACATCTGTGCCTCCATTAGTTAGTGCTGAGGATACTTTCGCATTTTTGCCTTAATTGGTCATCACTAAGAAAATATTGACGTTCAGCATGTATCATCAATATATTATTATTATAGAATATTT